TTTAGCCCTTTAATTTGATTGAGGTCCAGGCACCTTCTGGTAGTGGATTTCTTTAAAGCATTGACCCCAGACCAAATAGCTAATAGCGACAAGCATTTTAGAGTCCAGATGATGAGAACATCCTGATAAAACTAGCAGAATTCCTCTTTCCCAAAAGACTTGACTAGCGTTCAGTATTCGGTTCTTAGTAGGCAAGTTCATTTTTGCAAACACAGGAAGAATAATATCGGTATTTAGAAAAATAAGGGTAGATCAGATACTCTCATCAGCTCAACTTAACTACTAATATACATGTTATGTGCGAGAATGTGCAACCTTCAAGCACATATCATGTTTGCAATAAGTTAAGAAACTTAGATAGAATTTTTATAAGCAACCATATCTTCTCCAAAGTAAAGCTAAAAGAATATCAAAATTATAATAAAACAAAACAAGAGAGGTAATAATTAGAGGCTAACTTACAATCACCAGCATCAGTGGTAGCTGCTATGATATAGATTTGAAAAAAAACAAGAAGCAAAAGTGACCAAATGGCTGAACCCATTAGTGAGATAAACCAAAGGTTTCAGATTCTGGAGTTGGAAGACCTCACAAGTATTTCCGTTCTGCTTCTAATTTTGCATAAAACAGAGCACCCATTTGACATCAACCAGTAACCAACACGAAAGAAAGCATCAAACTTAGAGTTGCAGCTGCAAATCCCTTATGTTCAAATGAGGAAAGTCTGAAATCGTGGACTTTGAATGGATCTACAAACTTGCAATTTGCCCGAATAACATAGAATAAAAATGACCAACCAAACGTTTTGGCCCATTGGCCCTTTATTTCACTCAAAAGAGGTAGACGACGTTAAAGTCAACACTCTTAATTTTGGATGAGATCAATGCAATGTTTACAAGCATATATGAGTTGTCGTTTTAAATAGCTGGAGCGCCCCCTAGGAGTTTCTCTCGTATATAACAAGATAGAAGCCTTCCATTCTCTCACAAAAGCAAGGGGCAAAGGCATTAAATAAATATGAAGGCAAACTGTGACAGATTTTGAAAGTCGGGTTTGTTTGTGCAGTCATATTCGTCTCCAGGAAGTCCTTTTCAAAGAAACATTCAAACCAACATAGTAGCCATGACATAACTTTTTAGACACTCCACCTCAAGGGAATCCAATAAGAGGCACACCTACCGCTAATATTTTAAAGCTGAGCTTTAGAACCGTTCAGCCGTTCCCACTTCCATTGGATTCATCGTTTGTTTTTTTCCTGCAAAGCGGAATTGTCAAACAAATCAGTAACCATTTTAACATAATAAAAATGAGAACAAATGGGATGACGTAAGAAATCCTTGGGCAAGACGCTTTAAGCCTTCAAGGCGTGTGGAGGGAAAACGAAGACTTCCTTTTAATTGGTGGACTTGAAAAGCAACACTGACCCAACTACTACGAGTTAATGCTGGTAAAACTTAAAGGGTGTTGCAGCCTCTTCGTTTATCCAGATCGACAAAGCCACTCCTCACACTCATCATCCAAGGTCCCTTACGAGCCGCTGCTAATCCCTCCCAGTTACCAATCCATTTGTTTTTTTCTATTACTTTCCCTCCGCTGTTAGGGATTTTTTCTAATCCAACTTTTGTTTTTCCTTTTCTTTATTGAGAAAAATTGCAATTAAGTGTACTATATTGTATACACTAAATGCTATTTGACTTTGAACGTAAGAAGTGCGAGGAAGCTCGTACAAATTATTATGGTCGTGACATATAAGATTTGCTTTCATTGTCGTGTGGTTACATGTGGGGTTTGATTTCATTGCTCAATGGCTCAATATTTTGCTACCTTGTTGGGATGGGTGTATTTTTATTTGGATTTTGGATGCAGGCCTGAGTCAAATATGGAATGCTAATAGAATTTAGTTGGATGGGTTTTTATTTGGGTTTTAGCGATTTGGATGTGGGCCATTTTATAAGGCAAAGCAGAGAGAGATGGTTTCTTTCAATAGTCGTGTGTTTTTTTTTTTTTTTTTGGTTATTTTCTGTTTTGCCTTGTCATTGGGGATGGTCTTTCTAACTCTTCATGTGTTTCTTTTTCTCACTTTATTTCTTGCTTTGTTTTTAGATTGATCGTTTAGTTATCTGTCATATTTTTTTTAGGTTGGCTTTGCTTGCTTTAACCGTTGACTGTTCTCCATAGATTTTTCATTGGTTCCTACGATCAATCATGTTTGAGA